CTGGCCATGCTGGGCCTAAAGTTGTATTGATAACTTTACACAATAACAGTGACACAAACACAGTGTTAAGCTATCCTCAGCTCTCACCATTTTGATCTGAGTGCTTTCTTGTAGCTGATGAACTGGAAAACTATCTCCTGTGTTAAATTGGAGAAGTACAGCCATCTGGAAAGTTGAAGCCTGAAAGAGCAAATACTGTATTTTCAAAAATATGAAATTATGTTCATGATAGTAAAAACTATGATATTATACCGATATACTAACTAATTTAAGCATTAAAAAGTCTAATATATATATATATATATATACAACTTTTAAGTCCAAAACTTCAATAATGGATTCACAATTGTTAAAATTGTTTATTAGTAGTACTGGAATGCAATTTCTATATTGTTAACTAATGAAGGTGGGGAGGATTGAATTCAAAAATTCTAATATAATGAAATGTATCATACAACCAAGAACATCAAGAAGATGGACAGTAGAACTCCCAAATTGCTTTTTTTTTTAGCCCACCAGTGGTATTGTAAATGTACAATGATGTAAGACAAATAACTATCGAGTATGGCTATTAAATAAAAATGCTCAGTACCACATCATCTGTCACAACATGATTCTTAACATTTGTATAACAAAATATCAAACATGTTACAAATGTAGTTCAATTGATACATCTCATTATTTAAAAAATAAACCATGTAATGCATCTACTATCTTTTCCTGCCTGGCACTTCTAAGGGTATGTAGATTTTGTTTTACTAGCATAGCACATGAACATTTCTTACATCCACATATGTAAAGGCTATACTCTGTACAGTAAAAACTGTTGAGTATATATATTATTTTTTGTTCTCATTACACTACTTGATTATAAAAATGATTTAGTCAATCTTGCAACTCAGTACAGCTTGAGGAAATTTGGCCTTTAACTGAAACAAGTTGGAAACCCTTAAACATTCCTTTATAAATTCATTTTAACAGCATTTTCACTACCATAGCAAAACAATGAAATTGTGCACACACTTACTGCAATTGTCCTAGGATAAAATTATTTACACCTAGTCAATCAGTAGAAGTTTTTTTCAGCTATATTTATTCAAGCAACTAATTATGATGTTTATTTTATATTCTTACACTTTTTTCAGTTATCATATAGCAGTTAGGATCTATATTAATTCCCACTTTACTAGAGATGTAGCAGCTAGTGACAAGTAGCAGCAATCAACTAACAACTTTATACATGCTGCAAGTACAGCACATTGCTGTATGAAAATATGCTTTGTTTCATTACTAACAGAAAAGATATTTCTGTACTATAACTTATAAAAAAGGTAAACCTCAAACTACTATCACTACCCACATGACAGAGGATTTGAATTTGAGAGCCCAGTGTTTAAGCCAGTCCTCTTCTGGAAGAGGTTTAAAAGTTTTTTGTGTAACTCAATACAAGCCTAGGAAAATATTACAAATGTTAATTCTATAGACAGCTAAAAGTCTCAAAAAGCTGCAGAACCAAACCTGAAAGCTCAATCAATACAAGAAAGTCACATAACTATAATACTATTTGTACACAATATGCCCTAAAGCCTATCCAAAAGAATCCAATAAGCCAAAACATTCTGCAAGTAAGGAAAGTTTATCAACAGCTCTAAGGAAAGCTGCTTTATGGAAGTGGGATTAAGAAGTTTTAATTACTTGAATCATAGAAATTATGACTAATTTTTCTTTCAAGGAAAATAAATGATGTTTATTTAGATACCATTCCAAAATTTGAAGGGTGGGGGAAGAGGCTGTTATGTAACAAAATCCTAGTTTCACTTCAATGCCTTTGAAATTTAGATTTAGTTAACTATTAAACTTTAAAATCAAAATGAATCTGACATAATACATATACAAGTTAACAAATATAGGACTTGAATGAAATAAAGTCTGCAATACAAACTTTGAGAAACAGCAATAGATTATATTTTTTAACTTTTTTTTTTTACAATCATAATTGAACAAGAAAAATGTCCTTCCTCTCCATTAAATTAGTAGAACTCTTGTACTTAAACTAGGTTATGTCTGGTCTAGAGACTGAGAGAAGTAATGCCAAGAAACAATTTAATATCATTAAGTTTTAATCACTGTTATTTTCTTTATTCATGTACAAACAAAATTAATTAGTACACTGCACATAAAAAGAAATGAGGTGCATGTTCCTAACTGATAGTTTGATTGGTATTTGTTTAAAATACAAGCTCTGCCTAGTGGATGCTGGAAGTAAAAGTTAAAAAAATTCTATACAATTCAGCTTTAAAAAAAAAGTTATGTAATTTAATTTGATACATTTTTCAATTGTAAAAATTAGGAAAATGTTACAGTATTATCATTGACTAAACAAATTAGAGCCAGATCATATTGTAAAATTTATATGCAACTTTGTTTCATGCTTATGGAAGAGATCTAGATAATGTTCTCATCCCAGTACACCACTAGTAAAAAACAATGGGAGTTTCAAACAAAATATATCTATATTCAGACCATATTTAATTATATGCAAGCAAGCAATACTACAATTTCATCATCACAAGCTACTCAACTTCAAAAATATTTTTACAAAATAATCTGCTACCCACCTGAAGTGTGTATCTATTTTTGAAACAATTAGTGATGAGTTCACCTTTGGACATGTTGTACAGCCAGTGGAGTTTTCTGCCACTGTGCTGACTGCCATAGAACATAGAAAACCTTTGAACACTCCGTTCTAACTATGAAAAAAAATGTAATAGATTAGATCTTCCTTCAGACACATGGTCAAAACATGTTTCAAATCAGAGGAACAAATCAATTCTAAAAGAAAATGTTTTTATAAACACAAGCAACGATGTTCGAAACATGAGGTGGTTTTTGAGGTGTGTCACTCATGTACAAGTTTAAGAACATATGGTACTGGTTATGTCTTTTTTTAGCTTCCATAATACATGCTTTCCACATTTTATACATGCCAAACATTTCAAAAGAAATTTCTTTCCATACAGTATCAATAACATAGCTACTTGAGTTAAATAAATTAATTTAAGTTTTTTTAAACATGTGCCAATAGTTATACATTCAACATACGTGTAAACAAATATAACATTCTCATTTTGCAACAATAATATTCAGCACATTTATAGGTCAAGTGGAGATTCTCCAGTAACTTCTGTGTATCTTTGCCATATATATAAAAAAAAAAATTCAGTTAAACATCTTTATTATCAATGTATGTCAATAAACTTAGCATAAAAATGTAGTTTATAATTCAAATTTTTATATTATCTAAGTTTTAACTTCAAAATTTCTAAAAACAAAAAAATTTTCATTCATTATTTTTCTGTGTCACATGATCAGTCCGAGATCTGGTTTTCCAACTTCAGAAATTTATAATTTCAACGACAGGCTTCTACAGTTTCCAACCAATTAGGAACACAAACTATACATAATTACAAGTAAGAATAAAAAATTTAAGCCTCCAACCTTCTTGATTTGCTTTGATATCAATAAATTTGACAAACACACTAGAGAAGTCTCTCCTATCAATGATTATCAAGATTGATTTCCTATCAACTCTTCATGGCCAATGGACATGTTTATAACCAATAAAAACAACAATTTTCCTGCATATAAATCTTATGACTTCTTTATTCGTTTTCCCATGGTAAAGCTACAGTCAATAGAATTCTTTGTTTATGGGTGATCATATTCTGATGCTCAGATCAATTAATGAATTTCTTAAACCTATTTATATCTTGCTTTAAAAAGCAAGAAAAATTGTAGTAATTTTGGGAAATATTTTTTAATGACTGACACTTTTTTGTTCTAAAATGTATATTTAAAAGCTAAATGAATTTTTTTAGATCCAAATCTTAGAAAAACAAGTTAGTGGACAATGTTATTTGGATACAAAAAATACCATGATTTTGTGTGAATGATAAGCATAGTTTTTCATGTATACTTTTTTATATTATAATATATATATTTTTAAAAGTAACTAAAATGTAAAAATTAAAAGTCTATTAAATTAGGTAACAAAACAAATAAAAACAACATGTTTAAAATTTCAGGAGCTCACTATACAAGTGTGACTGTAACCTAATCATTTGTTTAACTCTCTCACTACAAAGTCAGTTGATTTGACTGATCTCATAACCATTTTTTTTTCACTCATTATAGTTTCTGTACTATAACTTTTAATGCAGTATGTGTATCTTCACAAAATTTGGCAGACTTTGAGTACACATTACAAGTCTTTTGTACACAAAAAACTTAGATTTTTAATGAAGTATTTTTACTAAAGATTTGTCCATAAATATATATAGTATTTTTTTTTACAAGTCTGAGTGCAAAGTGATTTCAATGTTTAGATTAAAAGTACTTTTCTTCACCTCCAAAATCTCAAATTTCATTTGCATAATCTCTAAAGCCTAAAGAAAAATTATTATTTTACTATTATTACTATTTATTTCCACTACTCTAGCCTTATCTAACCTCAAAATGGTAGTGCTGCACTAAATAATTTTTGTTATTTAAGTAAATAATGCACAAACAACACAGAATAGCAACATGCAAAAAAACAGACAATGTCCCATAACTATCAGAGTTTTTCTGGCTTTCTAATTATGAAACAGCCATTAAAATTTCATCTAAGCTCATTGATGTGTTTCAATGGGAAAAAAACTTTAACTGAAAGTGAAATTGACAATTCTCTGTACAGAAAACAATGTAATATAACATGTCATTTGATAGATGAAACCTTGACTTTCTATTGGTTATAAATAATATAGTATTGAATGTCAGAGAGAACTATTGGCAATTTCTGAAAGAGAGCATGTAATAGGTGGGTGTGGAAAGAAGGCTCTGATTGTCTATTTCATGGTTCTATGAGTAAGTTTGAAGGCTATACAAATTATCCTCTGCCTGAGTGATGATATTATAATGAGTAATTTACATTACATTTCCTACTTCTTGAAGGGGTGGTAAATACATTAGAGAAGAGGGGATGCCTAGAGAGAATATGTCACAATTTTCCTACTAGGGGAAATTCGGGATTTCTTTAATATTGCCTTCAAAAGTAAGAAATTAAAACTTATATGCTATTAAAATATGGATTATTAGCTGCATTTAATTAAATTTTGAATGTAATTCAGTAAAACCTCGTGACATGCATAGCAAAAGACTCATGAGTGGAGAGAGGGTTAATTTAATTGTTCAAGAGACACCTAATGAGATCAGACTGTGATTTGTTGTTTTTTCATTACCAGTTGTGGATCCAAAGTACAGCAATGAAACTACAAAATTAAAAGAAAGCAGACGTGAAAAGGTTCGAAGCTGAGTCTATTAAGATAAATAACTAATTGTTTCTTACAATCTGCAATCATTCTAGAAAAAAAAAATGTATTACTCATTCTATTTCATAGTATACTGATGAGTTTAATAAAGTTAGTGTTAGGGTAAATAAAACATGAAGTTTTACCCTGAAAAACAAAAACTTGTGATATTCACTTACAGGTCCTAGAGGTTATGCAAGTAAAATAATATGAAAACAGTTACATGAAAAGAAGTATTTTTATTCTTATCACAAAATCACCTTTCACTCAGACTGACTCATTAAAAACTGTAAATTCATAGTAAAATCTTCAATAAAAATACTTTATTAAAAAATCTGATTTTTTTTGTTTACAATGTACTTGAAACGTTTACTAAAAGCTTGCCAAATTTTGTGAAGATACACTTAGTACATACTGAGTTACAATATGTATAGTTTTACAGTTATAACATCAGTCAAACTGACCAAGCATATATACAAGATGATTAAACACAATTTTGGAAGTTAACTAACTATAAAAAATATTCATGTTTCTGCAGGGAGGGTCTATAGAAAGCATATATATAAGATGATTAAACACAATTTTGGAAGTTAACTAACTATAAAAAATATTCATGTTTCTGCAGGGAGGGTCTATAGAAAGCTTGTCGTAATATATGTTCTAAGATTGACCTTATCTTTCTTCAGGTGCTTATTACAGTGGAAAATTTGGTGTAGGGTAATAACATGTAATCATGACTGGTAGATAATAGTTCAAAAACTGGCATAAACCCTGGAACAATGTTATTATACAGTGCAATTAACCCTCTGTGATATATATATTCCTAAAATGAAATACTTGAGCAATGATGATAAGTTTAGCATTCATTCAGAAGAATATAATGGATATTTTTATAAATACCCAAACCAAGTTTTTCTCAAAAACACTTACTTCTTGTGGGAGAGCAAATGTGAAAGACTGCTGGAAAGGCCAGGAGCCTGAGCTTAACACCTGAATGCTGAAGTCCACTGAAAAGAATAGGGTACACGTAGATAAAAAGACTATCATAAAATTCTGCTTGCCAAAATTAAAAACTTACAGTAGTTAATGCATTTTTTCACTACACTATATAAATGTACTTAAAATATAACTACTTGTACATGTAACTATTTATAACAGATTTCTGATGCAAGATGCAGGGAACCTACCATCAAATGTGTACATGATTCTATGTGTAAAAACAGGGATAAAATTAATGACATTTTATATTGCTTAGTCCACACATACAACTTCAAGGAATTTCAATGTTCAAATCTTTTTATTGGATATAAATAACAAACTGTATAACTTAAGTGAACTAAAATCTAAATGTAATCTGTTAAAATTTTATAATTATTGTTGGTATAATAAAGATGGCTGTAGTGCACTTCATTGTGTCCATTACAACAAGTGGTTCAACACTCAACCAATGTTGTAAGTAATCCAGTTACAACACACAAAACTGTGCCTCATGGTTGTCATCAATCCATTGTTATGAAGTTACACAAAATCCTGTAATAAATAATATATAACACGATTCAAAGTTCCTCATTATTCAGATCTAACTTTGCATGTTCCACTATCAATAAAGTTCTTACTAATGCTTATAAATCATTGTTTTCCAACCTATTATTTTATCAACATAATGTGATTTCTTATTCAAGCAATTCATATTTTTGATGACTTCAAATGTTTATCAAAACACAGTAGCTGCTAATAAGTATTTTGTCTCCCATAAAATAAAACTTCTAAGTCTATTAAACTTAAATCAAAGATAAACATAAGTTTTAAATTTTCAAAGTTACATTAACAAGAAATATCACTATTCTTATAGTATTGACTTTTAAAAATACAGAAAAAAAGGTTGGGCCTACCAGAATTCCATTTCAAGGTGGCTAGTTTTTGTTACTGGATATAATCAAGAATTATCTACCTCTGTGTTAACGACACAAACTTACAATCTAATGGTTCACTAGAAGTTGCCAGATGTTTTCTAAACTGTTCATTTAGATCCTTGCTAACACCAATGTCTTGGAACATCCTTTGAAGTTTAGAGGTGTATTCAAATCCACAGGCTTGCTAAAATGTAGGCAAAACAGATATACATAACTCTATACCCACAACTATACTCCTTCTAAAAAGCAAAGTTATTTGCATTCATAAAAATTATATCATAAATGTCAAAATATTTCACACAAACTTCTAACATAAAACATGATATGAAAATATTTTAGACCCTAAATTAGATATGTTTTCTTCATAAATGTCCAATTTATAATGAAATAAAAACCACTATGTGACATAGCTGTATAATATGTTTTATGCAACATTCCCATAAATGTATACCTAAACACCAGGTTTCACACATGCTTATCAGCAATAATGATGTCCTACACTATCCCAATTTGTAAAAGAAATTTTGCAATAAAATATATATATCACTGAAATGAATATAAGTGGTATTTACTTTGTTATATCTTATTTATAAAATTATCTCTTTTACTCCTTTTATACATTATGTAGCCTGTTTCAAAAAGCATCCCTACTAATCTCATTCCAGGGAAAGTCTTTTTAAGGCTCAATGGTTTGAAATTATAAGTTGTAACTTTTGTAAAATGAACAGGAACCGTCAAAGTAATTACTTCAAAAAAATTAATAAACAAGTAGAGAAACCAATAAAAATGTTTGTTTGCACCCTAACTCCTCTGAGCCTATTGGACCAATCTCAACCAAAATTTGTATGTAAACACAAGAAACTATGAGGAATGTCCTAAGAGGGTGAAAATTGAAGTTAACCCTATGTTTATTTTGTAAAGCCTGTTGGTTAATTACTCCCACCCTATTGAGTCAATCTCAAACAATCTTAGCAAGTTGACGCTTTAGACGATGTTGAACGTTCTAAATAGATTCAAGGTCAAAGTATGAAAGTTACTGTATTGTTTCTCAAACAACCATGCTTTTCTCATGGCCAATGAGATGTAGGGTGTTCAAGGGTGGGATAACTGCAAAATCTGTATTTGTTGATATATGGAAAGCAAACTGCAAATGTTACTTATGAAGAAGGGTGTTATAATTTCATAATTTTGAGATAAAGTTTATGTTCAAGTTATTACTTTGAAATATATGACTGCTGTTAATCTTAGTATTTTAATTAAGTTAAAACATTCCCATCAGTTGACTGGTATTTCAGCTTTATATATGATGCATGATAAACAACAACTGTGATAAGTTGAATTATTGGAAGGTATGTGGTCAAAAAAGGCTTCTAACATAGAAGCTAAAGGTTTAAACATTTACAGTATCTTTAAAGAAAAGAGGTTTTGTGGTAAATTGATAACGTGAAAGAAAAATAATCCCACCTTTCAGACAATATATTTATGATTTTGTTAGCTTGAGACACTTTGAAGTTTTAGAAAAAAAAAATGCAGTCAGTTGAATTTTACAGTACTGAACACTACCTGCTCCAAACATTCACGGTTTCCAAAATATTTGTGCTAGAAATAAGTAACAAATTATATAGATTACTTATTTTCCTTTTGTCCATTTTGACAAGTTTAAATATTACTTCTGCAAAACAAATCTTAATAAAATTCTAAGTCTGCACATTTTGTTTATAGTTTTATTTTGAAGGAGATTTGAGGAAAGAGATTAGACGATGTTTTAAAACTGAAATAAATAATCAATGAATGCATTAGGCTTCTATGCCAGATTATCTTTTCATTTTTACCTATAGTGAAAAAAAAAAATCTGAAACATGTATTCATAATCAAATAATGTATTAGGAGCAATGTCATATCATTATTCACATATTTCAGTTAATTTAGGTTACAGTATGGTAAATTAAGAAGGAGTAAAAAATCCCATAAATATTTTTGAGTTTCATTCAAAATTTAATTCCCATATTTTATTATCATGGTATACAAATAGCCTTAGCATCACAACATAGCTAATAAATCAATTTTTAAGTTATTAATTTTCTAAGAAACTACTTAAAAAATCCTCAATCTCTCCTAGTATAAGAATTGTGACATTTGCTATCTAGGTCTTTCCTCTACACTAATTTATTTATCAACCTTCCAAGAAGAAGGGAATTTAACATAAAATTACTCATTATAATATAGTTATTACTCAGGCAAAGCATAATTTTTATAGCTGTCAATCTTGCCAATAAGTTTCTCTGACATTTTATATCATTCATAACCAATAGAAAGATAGTTTTAATCTATCAAATGACATATTATATTATGTAGTTTTCGGTACAGAATATTATCTATTTAATTTTCAGTTGGAACATTTCTCTCGCAGTGTTCAGATCAAGAAGCTTATGGAATTATTTTAAGATTCTTATGTCATAGTTAGAAATCCAAATAAATTATAACAGTTATAGGATATTGTCTGCTTTACGTGTGTTATTATTCTGTGTTCTTAGGGACATTATGTATGTAAATAAAAATTATTCAGTCAACTAGTACCATCAGTATAACAAAAGTAGGCCTAAATTTCTTTGTCAATGAGGCTTATAACAGTTTAAATCTGTTTATTGCCCTTTGAATTGTGTAACTAATGATCTTGCCATAAAAATCACTTGTAGTTCAAGTTACTGTATTGAATGGTGTAATGCACAAGCTGCTTATGACCATACCTCATGGAGATTTTTACATTTTAGTTATTATTATAATAATAAATAAAAAAATATACATGAAAAACAAGAAATATAGTACTTACCTTTCACTTTTTTGTTATTGAAGTTATTTAGGAGAAACAATGCAGTTTCCTCATTACAATTTGCGATCACTTCAGAAACCAAAAATGGGGATGATTTAGATTTACTTATTTCTTTTATGTTGATTATCAGGTTAGTCAAAATGACCAAGTCCATATAGAATTAAGGTAGAGAAAATAAAAGATAAGCTTTAAATTTTAACAGAAAAAATAGATGATATTAATTTAGATTTTTTTAGATGTTACACAAATGAAATTTGGAAATTTTCAGATGAAAAGAAGTATTTTTAATCTTAACATGAAAACCACTTTGCACCCAGAGCAGTTAACATTTTGACTCCACTTATTCATAGACAAATCTTTAGTAAAAATATCTAAGTCTGACTGTGTGTGTACAAAAGACTTTATATGGAAAGAGTTATTTGAATAACATCTTATGTCTCACCTTTAGTTTAGAAATCATACTAGCCTCAGCATCATCACTAGCAGACATATGCTGGACTAATCTCTTTGCTAACATTTTACTATAAAATTTCTGGAATACGTCTTTGTCTTCAATGTACTTAAATACAATCATCTGAAAATAATAATAACAAAAATTAAACTCTAACTCGTTGAAGTTGTTTACTACACTGAAAATGCTACATTGCTCAAAAAAATATTAAAATGAATAGACACCTAGCAAAAACAGTTACTATAGAAAAAAAAGTGCACACACACACTACATGTATTCAACATTCATAACCCTTCTGAATGAAACTGCAATTTGACAGTGACCCAACTCAGTAAAAAATGCTACTAAACTTGTATACAAAAATACCATTTAGCCATTAAAATAAAACTGAAATAAATCCATACTGGTAAGGAAGATCAAGTTTCCTTTTACAACAAACTGTTAACCAAATCTATTTTAGAAAACAAGTTATATGAAATCAAAATTGTCTAGGAAATATTACTGAAGTCTCAAGAACATCTAAAAAAATAATATTATTTTTTTTTATAAGTTGCATGGAAAATTGTAAACTAACTGGTCAATATAAGTTATAGGTTTATATTTGCACATTTATCATTTCACGGGCAAATATTCCAATGCAGTAATAAAAGAAGATAGTTAACTTATTTGAAGTAGCTAACGTTTAAAATAAGCTAAAGGTTTTATATCGCACAATGTAGATCTGCCTTACAAAGAAACAGAACATAATGATACATTCTTGTTAGTTGATATAGTTCTGTACTTAATTAAACATTGCACCTTTTTTTAAAAAAAGGTTAATGTGATATCAAATACTGATTTCAAAACATTCTGAATTCACTAATGAATAAATCAAATTCACAATAAAAAAATTAAGTTATAAAAACAAAAACCAATAAATTTATCAAGTTATAGAGTGGAATAATATTTATATTTTTGTACAAAATTCAAAATATTACAAGACATAAGAATATTATGTACTTCTTAAATATAGGCAATGGATAAAGAAAAGAAGACAATTCTTTCAAGACATGAGACACATAAAATTTCACCATTAAATCAATAAAATTTAATAATATTCTTTTATCAAAATGAAAACAGAGGAAATTTCCATAGTTTATCTATAATCTTTGTACACTATAAAAGTGCCTCGTTTTGCTACTTACAACTTGGTTAAGGGTGTCCTCTAATTCTGTCTCCTCAGGGTTCTTGGAACTATCATCAAAACAAACACAAAAAACTTCTTTTTAAGAATATAAGTTTTACCTAAAAGTGTTTATAAAAAAAAAGATTGTCTTTTAAACTTTCACATTTCTGCTTTACAGCTGATGAACTTCACTTTTACATGCAGCTTTAGTTTGTAATGTTCACACAATTAAAACCAAATCAGTTATAGGAGCTGCCCTTAACATTTCATCAAAAAATGTACCACTTTTTAATTGCTTCAATTATATGATCTCTGCTTTATTTTTGGATCCTGCTATTAAATCTATTATAAAAAAGCTAATGGACAACCCAGCATCAAGCAGAATCATCTCAAATTACAAGTTCTGGCAAACTAAAATTATTAGATGTATTGGTAGGTTTCTGTAAAATAAATGTAGAAGTAAAAATAAAAATAATTTTTGTACTAAAGAATTGTGATCAATATACAACTTAATAAGACTTAACTGTGCAAAGTAATATACTATATTGTAAGCTCATCTGTCCTTTCTTAAAGTATTTCCGAGATGCTTAAGGATTTATGTATCTTTTTATGAGTGCATTACTAATACAAACCTCTTCTTTAAAAGCAGATCACAGTACTTGGCAAGCAACTCAGGGGACTTGCTGGAGGAATTAGCCATTTTGGTGACAGCATTGTTGTTAATGAATTTTCCACATGCCTAAAAATGAATGAATGGGAAACTTCATTAGTAACTAATTATTTATAAGTGGTTCTATTATATCTCAAACAATATTTTTCATATTTAATATAAAAAAAAAAGTTTTTTTTAGTTTTACAAAATTTTACTACACTCCTTAGTGCACTTATTCAAATTATACTGCATACATTTTAAGGAAACACATTATAACTTTTCCATTTTCAGTTATAGTGGAAATTATAGAACCAAAATCAACAAGTTTAACTGGAAGAAATATATAACATATGCAAGTAAAAAACAAAAATACAAGTTATGTATTTAAGTTAAATGAATCTTACTTTATATATAATCTGAAGGTTTAATTTTAGAAGTTTTAATTTTAAAGATATTCTACAGTTGAAGTATATTACTTCATTTTATATTTTAATAGTACCAGTACTTTCAACTCAAATACACACACATTGGTTAAACGGTCAGATCAAAAACCACTAAGGTTCATGTATAGCCACCCCAAATTTATAACTACTGACCAAAGGGAGTGCAACCATCAAACAGCACCTACTGCCAAACAGGATTTGCCTCTCTTATAATACACCCACACATGAAGTGCAGAACATGATCACTTGTATCTTGACACAAACCTTGGATCTTACAATCAACAGCCTGGTTACCTTTAGTGTAGTAATGCATAGATTACTGTTAAGTGATGAATTTTACAATCAACAGCCTGGCTACCTTTAGTGTGGTAATGCATGGCCTACTGTTAAGTGATGAATTTTACAATCAACAGCCTGGCTAACTTAAGTGTGGTAATGCATGGTCTACTGTTAAGTGATGAATCTTACAATCAACAACCTGGCTAACTTTAGTATGGTAATGCATGGCCTAGTGTTAAGTGATGAACTTGTTTTATTTTTATTCTTATAAAAACTGAGATTGTAAGTACAGGTTTGTTTTAATATCCTTCTAAAAAAATTAATAATATTGTTAAATTGCTGCTAATCCTTGTAGGATATAACATGAAAGAACAGTTTGTGTTGGTAAGATTTACAAATGTTAAAAAAATTTAGTTTATCAATTTTTTTTTCAGTTTTTATTGATCTATCATACTGAAATTATACATTTATAAATTTCCTGTAGAGTAATACGAATTTCCATGAAAATGAGTTTTACAATACCATAAATACTTTGTGAAATACATAGCAAAAAATACTAGTATAAAGCATGAACCATTTATTATTAAAGATTAAGCAGCCAAAAACAAACTAGAAGTACTCTGATACTCAAATATAATTATCCTGTTTCCATCCTCTTTACAAATTTAAAATTTCTTTCATTTAAGTTACTGTTATTTAATCAAAGTCCTAAGAATATTACCTTATCCAATGATGCTACAAAACCAGCTTCATTATTAAAAGCTGTCATTACTAAAGCATTATATTTTCTATGGACTTCCAAAATGGTGTTCACATATAGTTTAGGATCATTAAGAGCAGCATCACCACATTTTTCAATTGCACTTAGGCCCTGATTGTGAATGTGAGCTTCCAGCAGACTTCGGAGCTCCCCAAGACCATCTGGTATTCGAGAAACTAACTGGAACATTCTTGCTAGATCTGGAAAATAAAAAATTCATAAACTGCTACTGAAGCAGGTATAGATCAAAAACATTTAATATTCATTTGAAAAACGAAATATTTTTTATAGCCTAAGTTATTCAACATAAATCCTTTATGTCCTTCTTCTGAAATTAAATTTCATAAACTAAGCACTAGAAAAAATGTTTATACAAATAATGAAACACATACACGTGTGTGTGTGTATAAATAAAGATGACAACTGACAATCTAACCAAATAAGGCCACTCCTTATTCAGACAATAAAACCAAAAGACAACTGTAAACTCTCACATTGATATACCCATAAAATACAACACATCAGTCCTGTTAATCTCATGCCATCTCACCACGTATAACATTCACTACCAATTACAACACAAATTCTAGCTTAAAGGAAAACTGAGTCTAGGTTTCCAGAGCTAATCCATATTACCTCTAATATTTAGCCCTCCATTACAAGAATAATACTAATAAACTACTAATCTTAAACCTCTGACAATTTTTAAATTGTAATGACACAAGGCACTATATGTTTTATCAGATCCTCAGGATAGGAGAATTATCTGATTGGTCACTGCTTCAGATTCTTTACACTATAGGATTATGTTTTCTATTTACTGATGGAGAATACAGATATCAAGCTTACTAATACTAGTAAGAAGTTAGGATTGAAGAACCAGTATAACACAGTATAGCATTTACAGCTTGTTTAAATGTGTGTGTGTATGTTTGCAAGAGAAAAGCCACATCAGGCTAACTGCTGTGTCCACAGAGGGGAATCAAACCCTTGATTTAATGTTGTAAATCTGAAGACTTACTGCTGACCCACCGGGGACTGTTGGTTAAATATTTCAGAACAAATTATTATTATAAATAATGCTTATTCTTCAAACATCAAAATAAATGGAATTTCAATGTGATAAGTAAAAAATAATTTCAAACATCAGCATGAATTTTTTTATTTCTGTCTTTTATCACTGTGTTAAAAAATTCCCTTTAGTCTTGAAAAATAGAAAATTATTTCTAAAAAACAATGAGTAGCTCTAATTTACAGCATTAGCATTCGTAATGCTTGGGCAGTTACTCCTTCCCGAAAACTACAGCTATTGGTCAATGGCAACAAATTACTACTATAATTACTACTATAAACAGTGTGAAGTTTGGACTTTAATGAAGTCAAATTCCCTCATTATTTACTGTGTATTTTAGTTTTCTTATGTTATGATTTAATAAATGAAATAAATATCAGCATGACTGGTTCATGTATTAAAGATTAAATTTTAGCTAACAATGCATTACAATATTAGTCTTTCAATTTCAAACATACATAAATTACTATCATTTAATTAAATGAAATCTAGATTGCATTGTTTTACACACAATGAACGGTATTCATTTCTACTGAATGATTTTCACTTTGAAACTATTTTCATTGGCATAGTCCTACAGCAAACACCAGTACCCCAGAAAATGATGCATAAAACCTTACCATCTCAGGTCTAAATGCTGCTTTTATGGTAACTACATAATATACGTTTTGGAAAGTAATGTACACACTTCATAAGCTAAAAAAGAGACTTCTGAAAAACAAACATTTCATGAGAGAATAGAAATAAACTAATACAGATACCTACACATTTATATACATTAACAACAACAGAAAGCATAAAAAGTTGAAATGTTTTAAATTTTTCATCAATAAAAGCTAATATTAAAAAAAATATGAAATTGCTATTAAGCGTCTTGTGTCTAAGGCAACAGAAATAATATGTAAATGATGTGCATTGAAAAATAAATAGTTTACAAAGAAATTACAACAGAATATCAAATGATTTGAGTTTACCTGAAAAAGCTGAATACGGTTAAGAAATGTTCTGTAAATATCAACTACATAATATGAATTTCATATACACTACAGTAACACATGCTGTGGTATGTAACATGGCATGTCCTAGACATGCAACCATTTTGAGCTTTCAACCACAAAGGTTTATTCTTCATTTACTTAAATGTTATTCACAGAATGATAAATTTACTTTAAAGAATAAAATGAGATACAAATAAGATATATTTTTGAATAAAACTTAAAAGATACAACAGAGTTAAATTTATCATTACATAATTCATTATTACTTGTTTCGTACATATATATATATATATAATATTCCAAAAGAGTAACCACACTTTCCCAACAGAAATAACACAAGGTTGCATTTTCAAGTATGATGTACATTTCAAGAGTGAACTTTGCAGTGTGGAAAATTATCATAAAACATTACCATAAATTTCATGCTGTGGCTCAAAATTTCTACAAATCTTAAATCCAATTAGCTATACACAACATATTCCGACAAACACTGTACATAAAACTTACAGTAACAAGCTCTTATATGTAAAACTTAACACCACAATATACCTTCATTTTTGTCATCATTCAAGAGATTTTGGAACTCAGAATGAAATATTTCTAGGTGTTTTTCTATTAGAACTTTTTCACATGTTTTTGCTAAACTGTCTTGAGTGGTCTCATGAAGATAGAGTTGTACTCTTCTTTTTTCTTCCAATAGCCTTTGTTCTGCCTGAAACCAATGAAACATTTGTGTGTATGCATATTCTTGTTTGGTTTTAATAATTCATTAAACATGTAAATTATTCAAACATACATACAGAAAATGTTATCATAATTTATTGTTGTAATATTAACAATGTAGTTATGCTAAAAACCATACAACCACAACATTAAGAATTTAATTTTTAATATACATATATATATTTATTATAATATTCAGTCACATACACATTTACTGCACACAGCT